GGCTTTCTCTACATATTCCTGGCTGTCCTGGAACTCGCTCTGTAGGCCAGCTGGCCTCAAAACTCAGAGATCCACCTGCCTCTTTCTCTTGAGTGTTGGGATTAAAGGCGTGTGCCACCACTGCCCAGCAGGGGTGGATCACTTAATCTATTCCTTCAGCATATAACATCTAAGTATCCATTGTATTGATTATAAAAATAGGGATTAAAGATTCTCAAAATTCAATTCATTAAAAGTTATCAAAATTTCTGCCTACTTCCATCAAAGAAATATTCACTTAGGAGGGACATGGTGACATAGCCCTGAAATCCCAGCACTTGAGAAGTTGGGGCAGGGGGATTCTAAGTTCAGGATTAGCCTAAGCTACATAGTGAGTTCAAGCACAACCTGGGCTATATATATACTACAACCCTATCCTGAAGGGAGGGGAAGAATGACAGGGCTTGAAAGGAGAGAGAATGGAAGGAGAGAAAATAATAAAAAAGAAAGACTTCCTTATGGCTAGTGGTTAGTGGGAGAGTACTTGCCCATCGTAGACTGGTTTCAATTGTTAGCAGAGAGGGAGATTTACTCTACATTCTTTCCGTGCCTATGCATTATTCCCTTGTTCAAATTTTTACTAGAATGAAATATATGTTTAAGGGATGCTGAAATGGCTCTGGAGGTAAAAGTGTTTGCTATGCAAGCCTGATTCCACTATGTAAGGAAAAGATGGACTCCTTACAGTTGTCCTCCAAACTCCGAATGCACAATACATTAGCACAATACATTAGCACAACACATTAGCACAACACATTAGCACATACAGAATTAAAAAAAGAATTTACATGTAAGACAACAACAAGTTCATATAGAAAAGTCTGCTGTAAGAGGTTCTTTGTTATATAACTAGTAATTCATCATCGGTGTGGCATTGAGTGAGGAGTTAGTAGGATCAGCTACACTACAGTTCCACTTTTGTATTAAATAGCCTTTAACATACACAATGGCTTTCCAAAGCTGATTGATTGTTCTTGTCTATGTAAAGTATTACAACAGTGCTTTACAGTATATAGTATTACATTGCAATCCTATATAAAATATTACAAAATACTTCTGAATCAGTCATAGACAATTTTAGTATTCATGAATTCTAAGCATACTTAAAAATAGTTTAAATTTACTATTAGCCATATGGTAATTCTAATGCTATCAGACAAATTATTAAAATTTAGAAATCACCCTCTCATATTAAAGTAAAAGATATATTGTGCTCCAACAGAAGCAGGATGAATCAATTCAAAGTGATACATCAGGGACAGGTCCTTTCATAACAGTACAAAAAAGCTGAGCCATGTGGTATATAACAATATTGACTGTTTACAACCCTAGCAAAATAAATATGTATTACAGTTTTCGCTTGTTGATGAGAAAACTAAAGCAATGGCAGGCTAGGTATCTTTGCCCATGGCCACACAGTTAACAGGCTGAAGATTGGGTCAGGGTGGAAACTATCTGCTACGAAAAGGTGCCACCACCACATCCAAATGTTACATAGCCACAGGTAATGTGTTTCAATAACAGAACATCATTTTCTACTTTGAAAAGTCAGATTAATGGAGGATTAAATATGGTTTTTAAACTCTCAGAAGAATGAATTCATTAACTAGAAAGCTATTAACAATGTTACTGCTGTCTCGACCACGAGTATTTAATTGTATAATCAGCATTAGTTTAAGGACTCTTCACTCGCTCTCTACTTTTCTTCTCTTCTGCCTGCTTCTCTTCTCTTCTCTCTCTCTATGGTGACCGGCCATGGAGGTCCTCCATTAACCCGGTTTCTCTTCTCCTTTAGTCTCCCTACTCTGCTGGCCTATAATAAACTGCTTAATATGTCTAATATGTCTCATAGTCTCATGTCTCATCTTGCGCCTCTTCTTCCTCTTCTTTATTTCTAATTTAAGCAAAAATTTAACATTGGCACCCAACTCGGTTTAGGCTCTCTCCGTAAGTTCTCGCAGCTTGCTGGTGGGATAGGCTTTCTCTGTAATCTCTCCTGCCAGGGGCACGGGAAATTTCCGGGATCCTAAATCTGAACTCATAACCCACTTTCCATCTCGGTTTTTCTTGTCACTTCCTCCTGCCTGCAATGGCTTGAGATGCTGGGACTCTGTACACGTCAACTTGCCGCTTTTCCAACTAAGCATCTTTGGAACCCACTCATCTGCTTGTTTGCTACAATCCAGTAAGACATCCCTTGAATTTCCCGAGGGTCAGGTTTGGGATCCCGCTCCAGGAGCGGTGCTTTTTTGCTTTCTCAGTTCGGACCCTGAGTCCCCTTTGGGGCCAGGCGCCTGGCAACTCCCACGGGCCGACGGGCATCCATAGAGGAGCTTTTGCCAGTTTTTCCACTTGCCTCACCCATGGGGAATGCATAAGGAACCTTTCTGGCGGGTAAACAGACAAAAAAGCAGTTTATGGTTGCCACCATCTTGGCCATGTGGTCTAACCTGGGGGCCGCCATCTTGGCCATATGACCTACCCGAGGGCATGCCCACTCCAGCGGCCTGTGCCAGCAAATCTGACTGCCAGATCTTTTTGCTTTTTATTCTATTTTATTTTTTATTTTGGGGGTCTGGGATTTCTTCTTTCACTGGCTCTGTTGCTCATGCTTGTTTACAGAATACTGTGTCTTTCCAGGGCCCTCTGTTTAAGTCTACTCTATCCCTTTAAATCTCCTGTCTGTTTGCTACAATATATGGATCAGAGATTATATTCTGGTTCCCCATTTACTGTTATCCAGTCCTACTTGTCTCTGTACCTGTAATTTAACTTTATACTTATCTAACTCTATATGCAATTAAACTGTGCTGTCTCATATTTCTAAATTTTTATGTATCTTTAAATGATGATAAAAGTTTAAAATCATAAAGGTCTATTTCAAATTAACAAAATATTTATACCACTCAGTTCATCCTGTAAGCCATTTACAAAGGTATAGCTTTTTTTTTATTACAAAAAGGGATTTTTCTCTAACTAAAGGCAAATTTTTAACTGTTGAGATACTAAACAGACAGCCCTCAAATGCTCAGAGATCTAGAGAACATGGCATTTAAAATGTATTGTTAAGAGGCTTTCTTTTGTTAATAGGCCAGCTGCTGGCCCCACCCCATTTCCTCCAAGAAGACTGATGGGCACTGAAGAAACTTCATCTCCAGTCAGTGACAACACTAGTCACTTAGCAACCCTGCCCTTCACCTCAACTGCTACAAAGTACTCCAGACCGTGTACAAGAGGACAGTGGAATTGACTTTCCCCGTGTTGCTTGGGCCAATGGTAGGCGAGCCTTCCTGTAGTCCATAATCTACAGGTCACATGCTATCAGCAAGAAGGCAGATGTCCTGCAGCTCGCTATATTTTAGGGTTTATGCGAAGATGGGAAAGTGTAAGGCATATGAAGGTCTGGAAATGTAGTTACAAAGGTCTGAGGATGGAAAGGTCTAACACGGTGGATAAATGCAAGTTATGAAGGTCTGAGAATGAAAGGTATAAAGGGAAGAATGAGAATGGAAGGTCTAAGTTGGTAATGTAAAGTGTATGAATTAAAGTTATGAAGGTCTGAGGATAAGAAGGCTTAAGTGATGATAAAGTGAGTTGAAACATTAAAAAGAATGAAATATGTTCCTGATTTCTCTATTTTTCATGCTACTGTTCATAGTCAGTAAAGTTCTACAATACCACTATAGGATCATAACTACAAGGTCAAAATGAAGATGCTTTTTATAGTCCTTAAAAAATGTCTGTCAATTTTAAAATAAAATGTTAATGCTTTCAGCCAAGTTGCTTCTAACATAAATGTGCTGCTAATGTGTCTAATACTTATGTTTCCACAAACTAAGGATTCTTGTAAGTTCCAGGGAGCTGAATTGGATCCAAACAGGTCA